GTACCCAGTCTTCCCTACTCTGCAGGATGTGTCTGAACTCTCCAAATAGAAGTAAAATGTGAAGAGAAAGAGATACAAAGAAATATATGATCCAAAATTTTCAAGGAATAATTATTCTTTGAAATAATGTAAATATACGGAGTCAGTCCCAGCTCAATTTGTTTGTATAATTACCTATATTTTGCATGAGAAATTAAAAAATAACAAACAAGATACAACACAGCAACAGGCAAAAACCAACAACTTACAATCATACACTCACAAAGGTTAGAAAAGATTCCCAAGATCACCTCGTCCAACCATCCACCTACCAACAATACTGCCTACTACCCATGTCCCTAAGCACCGCATCTCTGTGGTTCTTGAATACCTCCAGTGATTAAGACTTCACCACCTCCCTGGCTGCCTGTGCCAGTGCCTAACCACTCTTTTGGAGAAGTTTTTCCCTAATATCTAACCCAAGCTTCCTTTAGAGATTGCACTAATCAGTCGATCTGAGCAATCAAGAACAAAATAAAACAAAACATCAAAAAAAAAAAAAAACAAAAAAAAATCAAAGCCCAAACAAGTAAACAAGCAACAACAACAAAAAAAGCAGCCAGTAGAATCATGTCACAGCAAACTGAACACAGTGAAAAGAATCAGGAGCTTGCGAGGAAAATGCATCTTCCTCTTGATGCTGGCTGACAGGTTGCAGCCATTGCAGGAGCAGAGCACTGCCAGCGCTCTTTGGTCAGAAGATTTACATTACCACCTGCAGAGAGCCCTACGTGCTACATCCAGAAATGGGAAAAATTAAATAAAGTTTATAAAGGTCAGTTGAGCTATCCTGAAATCAGACAGAATTGGCCCTTTGCTAAGAGTAGCTGACAGCACACTGCTTCTTAATAGCCACTAGAGTGCAGCAAATCATCAGCTTTTAAACAGAATAGCCACAATCAAGAACCTCCATTTTTACAAACACCAGTATTAGCAAGAAAACCAAATTTTGATTAAAATCAAAAAATGAAATGTATTTGCCCTTCTATTTACACGTTAGATGGTTAAGCCCAGGAAAGGTTTTAAAGATCAGACACTTGTCTGATCTCTCAAGCACAGGCCTGGCCCAAGCAGATCGAGTCCCACTGTATACTTCAGGTTCTGTATCAGGCCAGGCTCCCTGCAGTGACTGCAGCCTTGAAGGTTTGAACCACATTGTGGAACAATAGTTACATTCTAGCATATCTGTATTTAGGTTCCTTCCAAGGTTTTTAAAGTTTTGTCTGACAATTTTATTGAAACTGATAATCAGTGTCCTTTTCATTACTGGATGTGACTTATTTTTCCCCCTTTGAGTGCACAGATTTGCCTTTGTTGTGAAGCTACTCCAACAGTCTCATCACAGACAGGATGACCAGCTTGAGCAGAGGAAACCTGGCTACCGACTGCTTTATTTATTCCCACAACCATGGGAAGAAGATAGCCCACAACAAATGAGAAAACTCTTTATCACTTTTTAAACAACATTCTGCATTTGCACAGAAGCACCAGCTCTAATAACATGCATCTTCTGACTGTTTTACTGACATTCTTTAGCTCAAATGATTTTTGGTGACTGAGGATAGCTGCTTTTTATTCCTAATCTGTTTTGAGTTGCACAAAGCAATAGGAATGCAGGTGCTTACCAAGAATTCTGGTCTAATAAAATTCTTGTCTCCCTCCCCTCCCTCTCCTCTTTAAGTAGCAATCATTAAAAATTAATTAGGCTTGAGAACCATTGATGTGCTCAGAGTAGAACATGGATGGTATTCACTTAACCTTGTTCCTCAGGAAGCTAAGCAGTGAACAGATAGAATTCTGTTCTCATCCATGAGCTCAGAGCAAGACTCAAGTATTACACAGACATCTACTTTTACTTTCTACAGTAATGAAGCCCTTCACAAAGGGTACCATCACCAAGTCCAATAGAACAGGAAAATAATTGCAAAGAATTAGCTGCTTATATTTGAGACCACGGTGATGGAGTGATGCCACAGAGCAATGGGAAATACCAAGCATCACAGCTGTTTTCAAGGAGGACAAGGAAGGGGATCTGGGGAAGTACTAATTAGCTTCATCTTGGGAAGGTGCTGGAGCAAGTAATCCTGCAGCAAGTAGTCCAAACAGGAAGGACAAGAAAGTGACAGCAAATAGGCAGTGTAGATTTTGGAATGGGAAATCTGGCTTAACTAGCCTGATAGCATTCTACAGCAAGAATATTGGCTCAGTGGAAGAGGAGAAGGCAATAGAAGATGTTCCTTTTAAGTTAGGGTTAAGAGAAACATTCTCATTTAAAAACTGAAGTATCAGGTAGATAAATGAACAGCGAGTCAGACAGAAAACTAGTTGCAAGCCTTTGAACCTGTCAATTCAATCAGCAATATGAAGTCCAACTAGAAACCAGTCACTAGTGCTGTCCACCAGGGGTTAATACTATATAACAGTTTCACTGATATCTGTACGATGGGCCATTTTGCTAACTATCATCAGCAAACTTGTAGATGATATGAAATCTGGAAGACTAGTAGTATTTCAGACAGTTGTGCTGCCATTCAGAGGGACCTCAACAAACTAGAGAAGAGGGCCAACAGGCACCTCCAAAAATGGAAATGCAAAGTCCTGCTCCTGGCCAGGAATAACATCTCCCTTCACCCTTCCCCAGCAGTACATAGTAGGGACCGACTAGCTGGACACAAGCTTTGCAGGAGAGGATCTGGGATTCCTGGTGGATATAAGCTAACCATAAACCAGCAAAAAAACCTCATTAAACTCAGAAAGCACTTTGCATTGCCCTACTGAATTCTTAAAGCATCTAGAGTGAGAAATTAATTTACTCACAAGCAATTTTCACAAGGAGAGTAAAACTGAAGTTCAAATCATACCATAGACCTGCACAGAGCAAGGCTTCTCCCTCCTGCCCTGGTTCCCTAACTCAAAATAAATAAATAAATAAATAAATAAATAAATATATTTAAAATAAATAAAAAATAAAAAATAAAAAATATAAAATAAAAAAATAAAAAATATAAAATAAAAAAATTAAAATATAAAATAAAAAAATTAAAATATAAAATAAAAAAATTAAAATATAAAATAAAAAAATTAAAATATAAAATAAAAAAATTAAAATATAAAATAAAAAAAT